TAAAAGTGCCACGATGGGAAAGGGGGGGGGGGGGGGGGTTCTGTTGCTATTGGTGTCCCTCTCCATCTCAGACCACATGTTTAGCAGTGAATGATCCCCCCACTTCCTGGTCGGTGTAGGGGGTGTCGGTACGGTGTGTAGCTTTACTTCCCATCGAGGCTCCAAATACAGTCATCTGTCAGAGGATGGGTGTGAGGGTGTGTCATTCACGCCCCCCCCTTTTCAAATCATGTATTTACATTTTATATTGAGCATTTTCATTCCTGCTTACATAGCAGTGCTGAATGTTGGTACTTCTTCCCTTGTGTGCGTACCTGGGTGAGTTGTGATCTGTGCCTAAGGTGCCCACACTTCCTGTGCGGTAACAGGGCACAGCGTGGTTAATGGTCAGGTGCCGGCCGTAACCACTGCCGGAGACAAATGGAGCCATGCTTGCTGTGATGGTGATTAGGGGGCAGTGATTTGCCGTACCGGTACTGGGACATGGTTTGACAGCTGGAGCCTGGGATGCTCCCAGCATGGCCTTCAGGAGCAGTGGGGTGAGAGACAATGGGGGAAATGAGGGGACTGAGTGCTCAGATCAACCATCAAAGAAGAGCAATAAATGAAGGAGTAAAGAGCGGTCCATCAAAATCCTTCATCCAGACATTTTTTTTTCCTTTATCCTTTCGGTTGGAATGAAATGATGCGTAAGGTCGGGCCATCTCGCTTTGAGCATAGCTCCTTCCTCCCAGCCGTTGATTCTCCCTGCTGTCAGTTTTGAGTGTAATTTTAAAGTTAGTCCTGAGTATATTGTTGGTGGCACCCCCTAGCGTAACCCAGGAGAACCACAGGCGGAGTCAGGGCCCGTTTTGACCCGCCACAGATGTGGTGGAGCAGTGCACTGAGGAAACGGCAGGTCCCTGATCAATGCATTGATCAGCCAGTCGATGCCTGGGTCTATATCCCCTGTGCTTTACACTCAGTGCGCTGCCCCCGTGTTAAATCGAGCGTGCTATGAGTGTGCACTCCCGGGACGCGCTGAAAGTGGCCCCCACAATGTCCCACTATCGACGTGCCGATTAGGCTGTAAAGTGTCGACGGTGCGGATGTTACTCGTCTCAGCCGATAATGATGGTGGGGAATTTTGGCGCCCGCTGCTTGTAGAGACGGGGGTAGACACACAACACAGACGCAAGGGAGGCAGGCCTGGTCCTTTGCGCTGTGTCCGCCATGACCGTATGGCGCTATATCATTGTCTGCTCCTAATACATGCAGTATTCGAGACAGGCACAGCTCAGTATGAACGCAGTGTTTGGTGTGTCTTCATTTTAATATACATCCATCGCTTCCTGTTTCTGAGCCGACAAAATGGGGTTTTAAGGTTTTTAAAATACATTTTA